CTTCAGCTGGAAGGCTATTCCATGCATCCACTACCCTCTCAGTAAAGTAATACTTCCTGATATTATTTTTAAACCTTTGCCCCTCTAATTTAAGACTACGTTCTCTTGTTGTGGTAGTTTTTCTTTCTTTAAATATAGTCTCCTCCTTTACTGTGTTGATTCCCTTTATGTATTTAAATGTTTCTATCATATCCCTCTGTCTCGTCTTTCCTCCAAGCTATACATGTTAAGATCCTTTAACCTTTCCTGGTAAGTTTTATCCCGCAATCCATGAACCAGTTTAGTAGCCCTTCTCTGAACCCTCTATAAGGTATCAATATCCTTCTGAAGATACGGTCTCCAGTACTGTGTACAATACTCCAAGTGAGGTCTCACCAGTGGTCTGTACAATGGCATGAGCACTTCCCTCTTTCTACTGCTAATACCTCTCCCTATACAACCAAGCATTCTGCTAGCATTTCCTGTTGCTCTATTACATTGTCTGCCTACCTTTAAGTCATCAGAAACAATCACCCCTAAATCCCTTTCCTCATATGTTGAGGTTAGGACTCTATCAAATATTCTGTACTCTGCCCTTGGGTTTTTACGTCCAAGATGCATTATCTTGCACTTATCCACATTAAAATGTCAGTTGCCACAATTCTGACCATTTTTCTAGTTTACCTAAATCATTTGTCATTTGGCTTATCCCTCCTGGAACATCAACCCTGTTACATATCTTAGTATCATCAGCAAAAAGACATACCTTACCATCAAGATCTTCTGCAATATCACTAATAAAAATATTAAAGAGAATGGGTCCAAGTACAGATCCCTGAGGTACCCCACTGGTGACAAGTCCAAGTTTCGAATATATTCCATTAACTACAACCCTCTGTTGCCTGTCACTCAGCCACTGCCTTACCCATTCAACAATATTGGAATCCAAACTTAAAGATTGCAGTTTATTGATAAGCCTTCTATGTGCAACAGTGTCAAAAGCCTTACTGAAATCTAGCTAAGCAATGTCTACTGCACCACCCTGATCTATAATTTTAGTTACCCAATCAAAAAAATCTATAAGATTAGTTTGGCATGATCTCCCTGAAGTAAACCCATGTTGTCTCTGATCTTGAAATCCATGTGTTTTTAGATGTTCATCAATCCTATCCTTTAACATGGTTTCCATCACTTTCCCCACTACTGAAGTAAGGCTTACTGGCCTATAGTTGCCCCACTCCTCCCTATTACCTTTCTTGTAAATGGGCACAACATTCGCTAACTTCCAATCTTCTGGGACTACTCCTGTTAACAATGATTGGTTAAATAAATCTGTTAATGGTTTTGCTAGTACACCACTAAGCTCTTTAATAGCTTTGGGTGTATTCCATCAGGTCCCATTGACTTATTTGTCTTTACTTTTGACAGTTGAAATAGAACCTCTTCCTCTGTAAACTCACGCGTAATAAATGACTCATTTATCCTTTTTCTCAACTGAGGTCCCTTTCCTTCATTTTCATCTGTAAATACAGAACAAAAATATTCATTGAGGCAGTCAGCTAGACCTTTATCCTCTTCTACATACCTTCCTTCTTTTGTTTTTAATCTAACTAATCCTTGTTTTACTTTTCTTTTCTCATTTATGTATCTAAAAAATGTTTTATCCCCCTTTTTTACTGACTGTGCTATTTTCTCTTCTGTGTGTGATTTGGAAGCTCTTATAACTTGCTTAGCCTCTTTCTGCCTAATCTTATAGATCATTTTGTCTTCCTCACTCTGGTTTTTTATAATTCCTAAATGCTAACTTTTTGTTTTTAACTATTTTGGCCACATCTGCGGAGTACCACAGTGGTTTCTTGAATTTTTTGCTTTTACTGACAAGCCTAATGCAATTTTCTGTTGCCTTCAATAGTGCAACTTTTAAATAATCCCATTTCTCTTGGACTCCATTTAAATTGCTCCAGTCTGATAATGACTCCTCTACCCATATTCTAATTTTAGAAAAGTCTGTTTTTCTAAAGTCTAAAACTTTTGTTTTTGTGTGGTGTGACTTAGTCACTGTTCTTATATTAAACCACACTGACTGATGATCACTGGATCCTAAACTTTCACCTACAGTAATATCTGATACCAAATCTCCATTTGTTAACACTAAATCTAGTATGGCCTCTTTACGAGTTGGCTCCTCAACAACTTGTTTTATAGACAATCCCAGTAGGGAGTTTAGAATATGTGTGCTCCTGGCACAAGTAGCTAATTTTGTTTTCCAATTTACATCAGGAAGATTAAAGTCACCCATGATGATAACTTCCCCCTTCATTGTCATTTTAGCTATTTCCTCAACTAGTAGATTATCTAACTCTTCAATTTGTCCTGGGGGCCTATAAATCACACCTACACGAGTTACTGTGTGATTACCAAATTCTAACGTAGCCCAAACGGACTCTATGTTTGCCTCACTAACTTTTATTAGGCTAGATTTTATGCTATCCTTCACATACAAGGCCACCCCTCCCCCTTTCTTGCCTTCCCTATCTTTCCTATATAAAGAGTACCCTGGTATTACTATGTCCCAGTCATTTTTCTCATTGTACCATGTCTCAGTAACAGCAACTAAATCTACACTATCAGTTGCCATTATTGCCACAAGTTCATGGATCTTATTCCCTAAACTGCGAGCATTTGTAGACATGATTCTAAGCTTATCATTCTTTAACACACTTGCTACAGGCACCTTCTGTCCTTGTTTTGGGGGACAATTGGATTGATGTTTTATCACCCTTTTGCCCCCCCCTCCTAGTTTAAATACATCCTAGCAAAACCTCTGAACTGCTTACTGAGATGTTGTTGAACAGGGAGGTCATGTGGGGAAGGAGTTGGTGAGGGGATACCAGTGACGCGCTGTTCCTGTTTAATTGTGTGCATTAGCGGTTCTAGTGACATGATAAAGATAAGGGGCGACAGTGGGCATCCCTGTCTTGTGCCATTCGTCAGGGCAAAGCGTCGAGAGGTAAAAACGGAGCTCACAACCACGGCTGTTGGGGAGGAATATAATGATAGGAGGCCATTGAGAAATTTGTTGGGGAATCCAAACCTGCAGAGGACCTCCGTCATGTAGCCCCAGTGTAGCCGGTCGAAGGCTTTCTCCGCGTCAAGGGCCATTAGTAGTTCCTGTGTTCTGTGTACCGTCAGGAGTTCCATTATGTCTAGTGCACGTCTTGTGTTGTCCTCTACCTGGCGTTCCGGGACAAATCCCGATTGTTCCGGGGAAACAAGTGTACCCAGGAGGGGGCGTATTCTATTGGCTAGGACTTTGGCAAAGAGCTTTGTGTCCGCGTTAAGCAGGGAGATAGGGCGGTAGTTTGCGCAAAATTCAGTGGGCTTGCCCGGCTTGGGAATAGTAATTATGGTGGCCTCTAGCATTTCAGGGGGTATGGAACCTGACTCCATGATGTTGTTGAACAGGGAGGTCATGTGGGGAAGGAGTTGGTCCTCAAAGGTCTTGTAGTAGTGAGCGGGGAAGCCGTCAGGCCCTGGGGCTTTATGTCGGGGGGTTTCTCTAAGTGCTTTTGAGATTTCCTCTTGAGTGATTGCGCTGGTGAGTAGTGAGGCTTGGGCGCTGGAGAGCTGGGGGAGTTCCACTTTGTCTAAGTAGGCGGCTATCTCCCTTGGGGTCGGCTGGTGTTGTAGAGCGTCCTCCGCTAGGTTATAGAGGGCACCGTAAAATGTCGCAAATTCATCCGCTATTAGCTTGGGGTTCATCAGTTTCGTCCCGGAATTAGCTACTAAGTATGGTATGCGCGTTTGAGCGTGTTTGTCTTTCAGTTGGGCGGCCAGCAATTTCCCCGCCCTATTCCACTGTCTGTAATACTCGCTTTTGAGTTTAAGTCAGCTCTAATCTTATTAACAGCCTGTCTTGTCACGTCAGAGGGTGAAGATTTGTGGAGGTCCTCCGCAAGTCTCAGGTCCCTAAGCTTTGCTCTGCTGGTTTCCTCTAGTTTGCGTTTTAGTGTCGCTCCAGCCCTAATCAGTGCTCCTCGTATCACGGCCTTATGGGCCAGCCACGTCGCGGCTACGGTCGTGTCTTGGGGCTTGTTGTCCGCAAAGTAATTCACTATGGTTTTCCTTATCTCAACAACCCGTTCAGCGCTATCTATGAGGGATGCATTGAGGTGCCATGTGCCTCGTCCTCTCACCGGATGTAAAGTGGTGAATGAGGACAGCAAAGGGGCATGGTCTGACCAGGTGATTGAGTCGATGGTGACCCTAGTCAGAGTGTCCAGGGACTTCTCATCCACCAGGCACATGTCTATGCGGGAATATTGGTCATGGACTTTCGAGTAGAAAGTATAGTCTCTGGTGGCCGGGTATAAGGAGCGCCACGTGTCGTGAAGGCCATGGGAGTGTAAGAGAGCTGAGAGCCTGTCACCAATAGATACAGAGCGAGGGTGGGAGCCTGGAGTGCCTGATCTGTCCAGGTCTGGGTCAAGTACACAGTTAAAGTCTCCGCAGATATAAGTTTGGCCCTGTTTTATCCTGTCCAGCGTTTTTAGGGATTTCCTGATAAAGTCATATTGGTTGGAGTTATATCGTTTAGCCTGCGTTTTTGTGGAGTGTTCAGGCCTCGGGCATTTAAGGACAGAACATTAAATTGGTGTTGGGAAGACATCAGCTGAGACCGGGGGGGGGGGCCTCGGTGCTTCCGAGGCAGCATTTACCAAACTGATTCACTGACAAAGGGGGGTTGCGTCCCTAATCTCCCAGCGCCTCTGAGGTCCAGGGTGAGCGACATCTCTAATGGGGTACATATTCAAGGGTAGAGTGCAACATGGGGATAAAAAACAGTGAACATAACAAAAGTATATACAATTCAATAAGCTTGACAGCATTATGTGGAGACTGGTCCGCGGGTGCACCTTCCTCCTTGCATTGGGGGAAGGTAGCACGGCAGAGGGTTGTCTCGGCAGTGGGGGGGGCCTCTGTGGAGAGGGTCCATGACCGGTGGTGGACTATATGAATAAAGGTAAGGAAAGGGTCTTATGTCGGGTATATCATGGGCACTATGCGGCACCCCTTGCGCCACCACATCAAGTGTAGGAGCCACCGGTGTTTGCGGGGGTAGAGCTGGCAATCGTGGTAAGATGAGCCGTGCCACTAGGCATGCCATCAGGGTGCCTCGGGTTATATAGGGATTGATTTGGTCGGGACATCCAGGAGCTAAGGCCAACCTTGTTGCCGGTGGGAGCTGCGTGTAGCTAAGACTTTAGAGTGCAGTGTATGGGGTAGCAGTGTGTCAGCTATGGGGGGGTCCTATGGGCCACCTCCTGTCACATGTACTCACGTGAAGGTTCAGACTGCAAACACCGGTTAGGCTTTTCCCTGAGGTAAAGGAAAAGGGGGTGAGTCCAGCTAAAGTCTTTACCGCTACAGAAGCGGAGACGTCTTCGCCTTGCAAGGCACCAGTCGACCTGGCAGCTTAGCCTGGACAGTCTGTTGCAGTGGGAAGGGCCGAGCAGATCATTCACTTCTTCCTTTGGACTTTGGTCCACTCCTGGGCCACCTGTCCTGGAGATGCTGGGTGGTTGGGCGGCGCACGGTCCGGGAAGAGTCCCCAGGCTTTCAGCTTGTGCATACCCTGGTCTGGGTCATCCAGCTTTGTTAGGGTTCCATTTCTCCAGATCAGCAATTTCGTAGGGAATCCCCTGATGTTATTTCGGTGTGATCGGTCCTCTAGGTCCGCCAGTTTGGCTGTTAGGCGCGCTTGCTCCGACTCCATTAGGCGGATCTTTTCCAAGATGCCGTCATTAGCCTGGCATAAATCATCTGTTTTCTCCTCAAGGACATTTAGGCGTGTCCCCACCTCATGCACCTCTCTGCGGATGTCATTAACCGCCAGTTGTAAGTCCTCTTTCATGGAGGAGCGGAGCTCCTGCAGCATTGCAGCCATTTTTGCCTCCGAAAGAGAGATATCCCCAGGGGGAGGCTGTAGTGCCTCTGTGTCGGATCCCTGATCTGAGGCAGGTGTTGGGGAGTGTGAGCCGCCGCCATCTTGCTCCGGCCGCGTTTTGTCTCTCCTACCTTGTCGGAAAAAATCTGACGCCCGCTGTGCTTTTGGGGGCGCCATTCGGCAGGGTAGGGTCCCCACAGGTTCGGAACTCAGTGGAGGGCACTTTTCCGACCAATAGCCGGTGTATTTCGTCGGTTTAGTCCGGTCTGGTCTCGGAGCTCTCACTCCATGTGCCTACTCCGTGAGACCGGAAGTCCCGTCTTCCGACTGAAAAGTTTTTTGACGGCACATTTAATAATATCAAAATCTAGATTGTACAAACCCATTTTAAGCTTCTAAATAGATGGTACTTAGTACCAGATAAATTGAATAAAATGTACCCCATAATAAACCATCTATGTTGGAGATGTGGTATAGTCACAGGTACTTTTAAGCATATTTGGTGGGAATGCAGTAAATTGAACAATTTGTGGTCTAATATCCAAAGATTTGTGTCTGTAGATCTGGATCTTGAGTTGAGGCTCTCTCCAGAGATTGTCCTGCTCCATCTAAATTGGCCGGTAATGGCTTATGAGTTGAAAATTATTCTTACTCATCTTTTTTTAGCCGCCAAAATTGTGATTGGGAGAGGCTGGAAAAATGATAGGGACGTTCCTTTGGAACAAGTTAGAACCCAGCTTAAGTTTCAGATTAAAATGGAATTGTTGTTGAGCAAGTAAAAAAAATAACTGTTTGGACGAAATGGAGAGGATCAACAAATAGAGCTTTCAACAAATAAAAGGTTTATTAAATTTAACTTCTTTACAAACCTAAAGGGAAACTGTGTTGGATTGGTCATACTTTGGATAATACAAGATATAAGATATACATTCTTACTCGATATGTGTTTTCTCCTTTCTCTTTTGCTGCATTGTTTTGTCTATGTAGATATGTAAGTTAAATGTATTGGTTTGTCTTTGGCTAAGTGAAATGTACAAAGGAAAATTTTATGGATGTATTTTCCAAATGGAAGTAATGTTTCCTACCATGTGTGTATAATTGTCGTATTGTATCGTCTTTAATGGAAAAAAAAAAGGGAAAAACCTTTCAAAAAATTATATGCCTGCATATTGTATTGTGGAGATTTTTCTGAGTGTCGGCAGCAAGTATAATAGTTGGGAGTTACATATCAAAATACGCTAGATGACCAATTCCACTTAAATAAAATAAACAAAAGCAAAAAACTGAAAGTGGAAACTCCCATTAGGGAGACTTCAGGGAACTCATTATCCATGAATATTATGTTTTTGCAAATATTCATACAGTTGCTAATTAAACATCTGTACAGACTTTGATTATTATTATGTTATTATTTAAATAGCTCCAACAAATTCCACAGAGCTTTACAGTGGGTGGACGAACAAACATGTAGTTGTAACCAGACAAGTTGGACACACAGGAACAGAGGGGTTGAAGGCCATGCCACTAAGAAGCAGAGTGGGGTAAAGTGAAACAAAAGGTAAGGATAGTATTAGACTAATGACAGTTGCAAGAGAGTAATCAGTCGGGAGCTATTAACAGTTTAATTGATACGCTTTTATGAAGAAGTGGGTTTTTAATGTTTTTTTGAAGGAGTGGAGACTGGGTGAGCATCTAACGGAGGAGGGAAGCGAGTTCCACAGGAACGGTGCAGCCCTCGAGAAATCTTGAAGGCGAGCATCAGAGGTGGGAGTACGGACAGAAGATAGACGTAAGTCTTCAGCAGATGGTAAGGGCCTAGACGGGACATACTTGTGTATAAGGGAGGATAGATAGGTGGGAGCAGCATTATGTAGAGATTTGAAAGCAAGAACCAGAATTTTAAATTGAGCTCTATATTTTATAGGAAGCCAATGTAGGGATTGACAGAAGGTGAGGCATGGGAGGTGCGGGCGGACAGGAAGATGAGCCTTACCGCCGCATTCATTATAGACTGTAACGGCACAAGTTGGGAGCACGTAAGACCACTAAGATGCAGATTACAGTAGTCAAGGCGAGAAAGGACAGTGGAATGGATCAGCACCTTAGTCACATCTGGCATTAAGTAGGGGCGGATGCGCGCAATGTTTTTGAGATGGAAATGACAGGATTTGGCGATAGATTGAACATGAAGCTTGAAGGAGAGGTCGGAGTCAAAGAGAACACCTAGGCAGCATGGTGGAGCTGATGGTAGCACCGTTGACTTGGAGGGGGACAGACACAGGAGTAACAACACTTGAGGGAGGAAAGACCAGAATTTCAGTTTTGGTCAAGTTGAGTTTAAGGAAGTGGACAGCCATCCAGTTAGAAACAGCAGAGAGGCAGTCAGAGACACTAGTCAGGAAGGACGGGGAGAGATCAGGAGAGGACAGGTAGATTTGCATGTCATCTGCATAGAAATAATATTGGAAGCCAAATGAGCTAATGAGTTTACCAAGGGAGGCAGTATAGATGGAGAACAGTAGGGGACCAAGGACTGAACCTTGGGGGACACCAACAGAGAGGAGCTGGGGAGAAGAAGCAGAGCCAGAGAAAGAAACACTGAAAGAGCGCTGGGAGAGGTAGGAGGAGCACCAGGAGAGAGCAATATCTTGTGGACCAATATTGCGGAGGATGAGAAGAAGCTTTTGATGATCAACAGTGTCAATAGCCGCAGACAGGTCAAGGAGAATTAGGATAGAGTAGTGACCACGAGATTTTGCAGCGAGTAGATCATTGGATACTTTGGTCAGTGCCGTTTCCACAGAGTGCTTAGCGCGGAAACCAGACTGAAGCGGGTCTAGCAGAGAGTTGGACTCGAGGAAGTCTGTCAATCTTGCATACACAATTTTTTCAAGGATCTTGGATGCAAAAGGCAGTATCGAGATAGGACGATAGTTGGATGGGGAGTTAGGGTCAAGATTGGACTTCTTTAGAATTGGGGTTACAGTTGCATGTTTGAAGGGCAATGGAAATATACCAGAGGAGAGAGAGAGATTGAGAATTTTAGTGAGAGGTGGAGAAAGAAGAAGACAGAGTACGGATGAGATGCGATGGAATTGGATCTAGGGAGCAGGTGGTGGGGCGGGAGGACTGGAGCAGAGCAGAAACCTCTTCCAATGAAGCGGGTGCGAATGAACATAGAACAGCAGAGGGAGTGAAGTTAGGGGAAGTATTGTAAGGGGAAGAAGAAAGATGAGATATCTGTTCTCTGATTGTAGAGATCTTGTCAGTGAAGTGAGTTGCAAAGTCTGAGGCGGTCAAGTTAGTAGGTGGAGGAGGAACAGCAGGGCGAAGAAGAGAGTTAAATGTGTGAAATAGTCGTTTGGGTTCACAGGAGAGTGTGGTTATGAGTGTATTGAAGTAATTAACTTTTGCAGAGGAAAGAGCCAAGCTGTATGAGCTAAGCATAAATTTATAGTGGAGAAAGTCAGATGCACAGTGAGACTTTCTCCAACAGTGTTCAGCAGTTCTGGAGCATTTTTGGAGGTATCGCGTGAGCTTGGTGTGCCAGGGTTGTTGTTGGGGGGGCCTGCGGCGTTTAAATGTACAAGGTGCCATGATGTCTAGTTGAGAGGAGAGGGTGGAATTGTAGAAGGAGGTTGCAGAACTAGGACAGGTGAGGTTTGAGATAGGTAAAAGGAGAGTTTGGAGATTAGTGGAGAAATGCTCTAGGTCAAGACATTGGAGGTTTCTGTGAGTGATGTTCAGACGGTGGTGTCAATTGGGTCTTAGGTATGCCAATGTCAAAAGTCAGCAGATGGTGGTCAGATAGAGGAAAGGGAATATTGGAGAGATTAGAGGCAGTACAGAGGTTGGTGAAGGCAAGATCAAGAGTGTTGCCTGCTGTATGGGTTGCTAGATTGGACCATTGCGTTAGGCCAAAGGAGGAGGTTACAGAGAGCAGACGAGAGGCATGAGTGCAATTGGGGTTATTGATTGGGATATTGAAATCCCCAAGTATAAGGGAAGGAGTGCTAGATGAGAGGAAGTGGGGAAGCCAGGAAGCAAAGTGCTCAATGAATAGTCTAGGATAAC